TTGGGTGGTCCAGGGGCAGAGGCCTGGAGGGGGTTTGAGAGAAAAGCGACTATAGGACTATAGATAACATTATTCATATTATATGGACAATCTGCAATCACCGGAGACGATCAATTTCTAACAAATTTCATACCACATTATTAAAAATTAACAGTTAGATAAGCCGGCAACTATATAATGCAATGCATGATAGCATTTTGTGATAATTGGGAACGATTTTGTGAAATCATAGGTTTTAAAAAGTAGACCTTTTGGAATTTGGGAGGGGAGGGTGCGTCCGCAGCCTCTGCACCCACCCCTCCCCCTGCCTACGGGCCTGAATACTTTATAATTTCAGCGGCGGATTCCAGACCTAGCCTAGGTCTAGGTAGGCCCTAAAGCCTAGGCTAGGTCTGGCCTAGTTATAATAATACAGAAACCTGTACCGCGCCTTTGCTAAGGGATACATACAAGGCGCAATCAAAATATTTTTTAAAAAAAATAACCAATTGGGGATCCACAAAGACAACAGAAATGACAAAAAAGCAGAAAATTTAGACAGTTAAGTTAATTTATTTAGGAAAACAACGTTTCTTTAGGTATATATCTAGACTTAGGCCTTGTTTTTTGACAAGCCCGGGCACATGTACCTACTACTAGCCTTCTCCGCAGCCCACTGTTTATTAATTATTTCAAACACTGAATTTTTGTATTAATTGTAACTCTTATACGCACCCCCCACACCTTTCAAAATTGTCAATGGTCACTAAGGAGTGCCCAAGTGACCTCAAAGTTTCATCAATTTTACTTGTTGACACCGTCCAAAAAAGCTGTGAAACTTTAATTCAAAATAGAGGGCGTCCACTTGAGTTGCACTGCCATTGGAGTTTTGCATTGAATCCAATGTTTTGCACTGTGACTCTTAGTTTTGCATTGTGACTGTGTTTTGCACTGTGACTCTCAGTTTTGCACTGTTACTCTGTGTTTTGCACTGCTGACTCTCAGTTTTGCGCTGCTGAATCTGTGTTTTGCACTGTGTCTCCCAGTTTTGCACTGTGACTCTGTGTTTTGCACTGTGACTCAGTTTTGCACTGTTACTCTGTGTTTTGCACTGCTGACTCTCAGTTTTGCGCTGCTGACTCTGTGTTTTGCACTGTGACTCTCAGTTTTGCACTGTGACTCTGTGTTTTGCACTAATCAGTTTTGCACTGTGACTCTGTGTTTTGCACTGCTGACTCTCAGTTTTGCACTGGTGACTCTCTTTGCGCTGCTGACTCTCAATTTTGTGCTGCTGCCAATTGTATTTTGTCCTTTTGGCGTTCCATACACATTGCCCTTGTGGAAAATATCATGGTGTCATTACATACTAGTGCAAACACTACTAACATAACAAATAGTAATTTTGAAATAAAACCAAATATTGTTATATTACTGTAATTTTATTTTTGCTTTATATATATTTTTTTTCAAAAAAACTTCATAAGTTTAAGTTTTGTTGATCACTGTTAAAGTGTCTGAGAGATTTAAGGAAAGAACTTGTATTAAAACTGTGTACAGAGGGGTTGGGGGAGGGGGAGGAGGAAAGCAGCGCCTCCCTGGATACGTCCCTGCGAAAGTTAAAAACAATCCATAGTGATAAAAGTATCACAGTTGATGTATTAAATTTTCGCTACCGCAGCATAACACAGAAAACGGCCTAAATAATGTTTTCAAATTGAAATATTTCGTGTGTAAAATTCAGTCATTATTCTGCATAGGAACGTTGACGCCTGCTAAGGTGGTTTAATATATTGTTGTCTAGTAGGCCATGCCAGCTCCCCCACTTCCGATATCGTTTCAAACTACTGTAAAATGATAATACTGTATACCTACAAGAGCCTACAATTTTTTTTTTAATTGTTTTTTGATGATTCTACTAACTGTAGTTTGCCTATCAAGTAACATAAACAATGTGGTCAAAAATCACATTTTGGACAATAAAAACTCACTCCTGGCGCGCCACCACTGGATTCGATAATCTGCTGTATCCCTTGCTGTGCCATTTTCGATTGGTGATGGTCTGCGACCTGTAGACCACACACAATAGGCCCTAATTGTAACTTTAGAGCACTGATGAATATTTATTACTTCGTCATTTTCATAACGAATTATTTATAAACCATGGCTTCCTACGATGTCATTATTTATATATAATGGCACTCGACCTCAACGGTTATTTATATATAATTGGCATTAATAAACCATTATTTAGATATAATGAACTTGACATGATAACACGTGTGCATTACATACATATAATGAGTTTGAAGTCCAAAAATGATATACATATAATGGTTTTGCGACAGCTATTATTTGTATATAATGAAATGTAAAAGCAGTTATTTATATATAATGAGTTTAAAGTCAATTCTTTATTTATATGAAATCAGTGAACTTATTATATATAAACAATTGTAAGTTACTTTTCATTATTTATATATAATGATTTGTTACATTTTCATTATTTATATATAATGGAATCAGTGAACTTATTATATATAAATAATTGTAAGTTACTTTTCATTATTTATATATAATGATATGTTATCCTTTGCTTATTTATATATAATTACACCAGTAACATTATTATATATAAATAATGTTTGGTTACCGTTTCATTATTTATATATAATGAAATCAGTAAACTAATTATATATAAATAAT